ACTTTCTCACACCCTCCTGCTCTCTATTTCACTTTTCTGTTAGCTAATTTGATGACACCTCTCTATCTGATCACTTCCATTATTGTCACATACAAGCACGCCATTCGAATTCTTTATTATGAATACAAACAAAAACAACAATGTCAGTAATGCACGATTTGATAAATATCTTTGATTTAAAATACTTCGATGTGATCTAGATGAACATGATTGCCATTGTAGATGTTCATCGCTTTATTCATCATCATCATCATCATCAGAACTGAGATCAATATGTATTAATTCGATAGAATGTTCTATATAAATCACGATCCAATGAGTACTATAAAAGGTGAATACTCACTAGAAAAATTTCTCATTTCGTTTATTTTAGTTCATCATGCTGTTTGACTCGTCATTATCATTGACTCTCATCCTTCTGATCTTTCTACCAACAATTTTAACAATTCCAACTGCTGACCAACAACAACAACATCGGTATCGTCGAGGAGTCATCAATTTCTTTAGTGATGTTAATGAACCAGAAATTAAAGCTGATCATGGTAGTTCAATCAATATGGGTGGTAATACTGGTGATCCAAATGGAAAAAATACAAGAGATCCTTGGTTACATATGGTTAAACATCAAACAGGTCGTGTTGTGCAAGGTGGTACCGATCTTGTGTTAACACCAATCAATTGGTTTACAAATCTGATAAATAATTGGTATTTAAAAGAAAAAACAATTTCTTTCATTTTCATATATAATTGTTTTGTTTTTTTTGTTTATTTCTAGGCCTCTCTATCTCATTTGCATGACTATCATTATGTGTTTGTTAGCTTTTTTCTATTGTACATGTAAAGCTGGTATTATGAAAAATTTTCTTGTACGTGGACAAAGTATACCATTGCCATTTACCAATGTTTTGAAACAATAATCATTTTCATTTTACTTCTAGTAGTTGTAGTTGTAGTTGTTTCTTTCTGTCTTTTCATTTTAGATTTCTTTTTTTTTACTCTGTCTCTCTCACTGCATCAAAATGCATCCAGAAATGCGAACAAATGAACGTATTATCAGTGGTCCCTTCTCATCTGTTGAAGTGAAAAATCATCTCACACAAAATCATTTAAATCCATCGATATCATTACGAGATTTTCATCTATATGCCAATACATCACAAATTCCTCAATTGAACATCACAAATTTTATTGAACGACCCTTTGTTTTTCTTTTCAAATCTCATTCAATCATTCAAGATTTCTTTTTACTTTTCATTTTATTTATTGCCATTATTTTATTAGTTTTAGTATTTTATCGACGATATGCTAAATCATTATTATCGAACGAAAATTCAATTTGATTTTGTCTTTTTTTTTTGTTTCTAGATGATGCTGTCAATTGGAAACTTCAATATTGATCCAAAAATATGCATGTTTATTATTTTGATTGCTTTATTTTTGCTTATTTTGGCTAAATTTACAATGTCAATCATCATGGATATATTAAAACTCTATGAACACAAAATACGTCTTCATTATTCTGTTCCTTGTCATCATTGTATTATTGAACTTGATCAAAATATACAATAAAATAAACTAAAAATCTTATTTGCTTTTTCTTTTCCCTTTTCTTTATCTTTATCTGTTTCTTTTGTCTCTTTTCAGATATAATAATGGAATCATTGATTGCGGAATATTTTGCAACATTTTTACAACAACATCAACAAAGTTTTATTCTTAGTATCATATTAATTGTTTTATTCATGGTGATATTGTTAATTATGATAAAATTATTTTCTTCAATTGTAAAACGTGATCCATCAATGAACCATGGAAAGTCGAATATGTCTTTGATCGATGAAAATGATTCTTCTTTTTTTTATTCAAAAACCATTGTTTTTAATTCTGTTTAGATGTATTATTTGCTTTTCTTTTAGATAAATATGAACTTTGAAAAAATATCCTCATTTACCATTGACCGATCATCATTTATCATCACGGACAACGACAATACAACTGATATTCCATTATGGTTACATTTGACAAAAGAAACAGATAAAGATAAAGAAAA